CTTGAACATGTAATTTGTTAAATTACACTATACTACTTGAACATGTAATATTACGGTAAATCACTTTTAATTCAAGACATCTTTTATTTTAATATTTATTATTTTTGCGTTATTACGTATACGAAGGGGTGATTTATCCCGAAATGCCATTTCCACATTAATTCGGCATTATTAACTTTTTGGGGAAAACATTTTGATTAATTTTCTACAAAATAAACTGTGAAGAAAATTAATGATTCATAATATGTATATGCTATCATATACATGTATCGTATTTATACAGAAGTATTGATGCATATCATAAATGAAGATCTTTTTGGAATGTTAAACTTACAGAATTCAGTCCACAATACGCCTTATTTGGCCTAGCAAATAGTGAAAATTTTAAAAAGGTATTTAGAATAAACGAAAGTGTTACTTATCATCCTGAAACATTGACTTATTTTACGTACACAAATTTTCTTTGTACCTGATGTTTATCAGGGCAATCTAAACACTAAACAAACGGTGGATCGACGTTTTCCGGGAAAATTCCAAAAGTTAGCACATTTTAATTCAAATTTACACATATAGCACAGTCGTTACCGCAAAAAAATAAAACAGAAAATAAAATATACAAGTCTGAGAAATGTTTTTCAGTGAAAAGATTTTGCGTTAACGAGTGTGCTCATGTTGAAAAAAAATAAATAAATAAATTCCATCTCACATGAAAATACTATCGTCTGTTATGATTCCTGGAAGAAATGCCAGAATTTTGAAGCTGCAGTGATTTTTGATTTAGAGGGAAAAAAAATCCATTTCTGGAAAACATGCTGTAGAAAAGTAATTGCATTTGATTATTGTTCCTACAGTAATTACATGATTAATATAAAATGATGAATAAATTCCTAATTAATATTTTCCCCTAAAGTGGCGAACACTGCAGTCTTGAGTAATCTGCAGTATGTCACTCTACTTCTTAAACTGGCTGGAAAACTGTTTCCTAATAAATTAAAACATATTCGTAATAAATTTCTCCTTATCCATCATTTCCTCGGTTTTCACTCATCCAATCTGTCATTCTGTCCGGAATTTCGCACCCTGTGCGAGTAGTTCTTTATATTTTTTACGAAATCCTTTAAAAAAAGGCTTTATTATACAATCGAAAAAAAAATCATATATAAGAGGGAAAAAAATTATATCTCAATCTGTTTTATTTAAAAATGTAAAAAAAAAAAGATTTATTGTGTATGCAAATGTAAAAAATACTCGTTACTTAGTAGAAAATCTTCATAACAATAATTTAAAAAAGAAGGTAAAGGGCAGTAACTCTTTCAATGATGAACAAATACTGCAGATTCACAGTACATGCATAAACAACACAAAACAAACATTAAGGATATGTGAACCTGACGTTTTTGAATCCACCGCGCAACTCGAACTGCAGAAGATGGGAACGGTCAATGTCCTGATCATAGAACATATAATTTTGCTAAAACACAAGTTTAAAGGATTTAACAGCTATTACATAGTAAAATAAAGCCAAATTAAATCAACATTGCATGAATTTTATTAATTTTGGCTGTTTGCCTGTTCCAACCCCGATAATTTACGACATTACATCCTAGCCGTTTTGCGACGCCATGTTTTGTAGAGAAGGACGCAACGATACATTTGCAAGGGAAAAAGCAGTTTATACGCCGAAAATAGATTATACGTTTATATGTAGACGAAAGTATACAGATTGGTGCCGTTCGGTTTCATGTAACACCTGTAGGGAAAAGAGTACCAATTAATTTCCCATAGAACTCTATACAAACCTTTTGCCCTCCAAGTAATTTACTAATTCCCGTTCAAACAAATCACTGGTATTATTTGAAAGTTCGTTCTAAGCACTTATTAAAAACACGAAAAAAAATATACCGTTCCGTGGCGTTTATAGGTCAAATTTGCAGTTATTTAGAACTTACAGAGATCGGCAGTAAATGACACCCTGCCAAAAATATCAATCCCCCCTCTTACAATCTCCCCTGGTGTTTCTAGAATTTTTGTAATATTCCCACATTCCAACATTTATTTCAAACATTAATATTTTTACTTTAAAATGAAAATATTTACATACCTCAATTCAGCCAATCAGGTAAAGCCTACCCATTTATTACTCTGCTTCATCTTGTTCAACCAGGAAATGATGTCAAAATCTGGGTCTTTGGTACTCTTTTTCCTATACTTACATATTTACCTATCCCAGAATTAGTCAATTTTGTAATTTTCAAAGACCTTATACTTACCAATATACATGTATGAAATTTGAGGCCTGTCACTTCAGTGACTTGGAATCTGTGGCCATCTTAATGAATGTCCCCTCCCTGCTGCAGGTGCTTTTCCAAAGAGTGAAAAACTTTCATTCCTGTGATGAAATCTGGATACAGCTGTCACTGTAATGAATAAAATATTTATAAAATAACATGATTTTGTTTTTTGATGTTAATAAAATGATATCAAGTCAAAATTGTGTCAATTTTTTCATAGGGGTGGAATCTACCCAAAATAAAGAAAAAAGGTCCAAAATTTGATAAATCATAATTAATTAAGCAAAATTTCAAGGTTTTAAAAAGACTGATATAGAAATTTTCTTATGCTTATGAAAAGTAAATTGTTTGAGACTCTGATATACTAAATGATTCTTATCTAACCCCTCCTCTTGCTTAAGTATATACAAAAAAGTTTCCCCACCCCCCAGTGAAAGACACTTAGAGAAATAGCAGGTGCCCCCTATTATATTTGTTTACAATTAATTCAGACAAGAGAAAATTAATACTTTTGATAACAAATCAAAGTGCAGTGTCTGATAGTCTTATACAGTACAACCATAATCTACATTATTGAATTTCATGCTTTAAAAAGGGGAATTCAGATTAATTTGTAAAAAATTAAGAAATGCAATAATTGACTTAAAACCCCAAAATGTACACCACAATAAGAGGCTGAAAAGTTAATAAATGAAAAATTTACCTGCAATGTACAGAAATCTGTCCGACAAAATATATCAGGTGGGTAGCGAGTCTCCATCTTCTTCTTATATAGAGAAAATGCCCCCCGCCGATGAGATACCAAGCTCTCCCGGGTCCAGGAAGCTGAAATATGAAAGTCCTCTATAGTCTTTAAATGAAAATAAATCAATAAAGATAGTCAAATTAAGCATAAATCATAAAGAAAACAGCAATATTTTTCAAGTTTTCTGAAAAATTACCAACTTACATATCTTCTACATGGCCAAATGTTTAAAAAATGGATCCGTCAAGGTTGGAATACATGTTTTACAATTTTACATGTAATTACATGTAAATATTAAAAAATTCAAATGTGATACATGCAGTTATGCCATTCCAATAATTCAAGAAAACAAAATCAGAAGCCTAAGGTCACAATAATTAAGATTATATCATGTTGAAATTCTACATATTTGGTTAGCTAGTCTAAGGGAAGTAACTCTAAGTACAAAAACTGGAAAGCAGTAGAAAATGAGTTGCAGAGAGTCACCCTGATGGAACTACAAAGAGCAAAAAGAGGGAAAACACATACCTTTGTGTAGCTACAATATAGAAACAACCAAACTACAAACTGATCCCCCCGCAGTCAAAGGGAGGCAATCCAGAGGATCACATACACTACCGACATGATACGCCAAGACAGAAAATGACCTCCTTTCACATGAACACCACGAAACGCACTTTTAAGGGCCGAATAAATTATTCGAAAAGATACCAAACGTGCAGACGTATAAGAAACTAAACAAAAATTAACACCAGGCCACCATCCTACACTTCCAAAAGTATACATATATAGCAAATCATATAAATACACAATGACATGTACATGTAAAATACATACATAAATTTATGAATACATACAAACATTTATTATAAAATCAATCTGATACATTTTCTTAACTTACCTTTCTCCTATGGCCAAATCAACTACACATTTTTACCCATTTCCATCCTCTGTACCCCCCCCCCCCCAAACTCTACAAAAGACTCAAAATCACCTCTAACCCTAATTTCACAGATAAATAATTCAAATTTTTGCTAATTTTTCTCTCGTAATGTCTTCAATATTCAATTAAATTGCTAAAAATAACTTTTCATGACTTTCACTTAACTTTACTTATTAAAAAATGGGGTCTCTATAGGGAAAAGAGTACCCATTAATTTCCCATAGAACTCTATACAAACCTTTTGCCCTCCAAGTAATTTACTAATTCCCGTTCAAACAAATCACTGGTATTATTTGAAAGTTCGTTCTAAGCACTTATTAAAAACACGAAAAAAAATATACCGTTCCGTGGCGTTTATAGGTCAAATTTGCAGTTATTTAGAACTTACAGAGATCGGCAGTAAATGACACCCTGCCAAAAATATCAATCCCCCCTCTTACAATCTCCCCTGGTGTTTCTAGAATTTTTGTAATATTCCCACATTCCAACATTTATTTCAAACATTAATATTTTTACTTTAAAATGAAAATATTTACATACCTCAATTCAGCCAATCAGGTAAAGCCTACCCATTTATTACTCTGCTTCATCTTGTTCAACCAGGAAATGATGTCAAAATCTGGGTCTTTGGTACTCTTTTTCCTATACAAGCGATGTCACCCCGATTGCAGTTCCACGATGTACATGTACTTCATTGTTTTTCACGTAAGTAAAAGTAGGTCTAAACTAACAGCAGAATGAACATACACCAAATAGATGGATAACTGGAGTTTACCTGACACCTTATACATTTATTTATTATTAGGTTGTAATTTATAGCTTTATAGCATCATTGAAATTCAATGTATTCTCTGTCTCCAGTCGGGATCAACAATGATTCGAATATTACAGAAAACATGGAAAATTTGCACAAAATTCACAGATATATCCAATAAAAATACACGGTTTTAAAATAGGCTGAAATAATTTTTAAACGTTATTAATTGGATTTACTTTTTGTTTACCAGTGTCAAATTACCAAATTAGGCAAATACTGAAATAGCAATTTGCTGGCCAAGTAACCAAATTACATTATAGACAAATCAGTTTGACATACATAATATGTATTTACACCACCTCTGTTGATTATTCAACGAAATCCTGACTTACGATTGGTTGGAGTCTGTCACGTGTCGGAGGTAGATTATTTATACCCAGTCAATTGTAAATCAATACCAGGACGATGTAAAATTATTTTGGAACACTTTGAACAACTCAAATTCACAAGGTTAATATTTTCAGTGTTTGCAGTTGAGAAGGCTAAATTTATAAGTAGCGTAATTATGAGAGAAACATTTTCTTCTTTACTGAAAACCTATAACACATACTATTTAGTTCATTATTTTAGCACGCACACAACATTACAAAACAAACACAACGTGATGTCATAATATGCACAATATAAGCGTGATGAAGCATGTGGCAGAGAAAAACATTTATAAACCACAGATAATACATAAATGTTTCATCAGTGGGGTAAATTTGTTACATAGTTTTTAGTGACAGAGTATGGGATGATACCCAGTAAGCAGACTCGACTCCACCTCGCCAGGTATTAAATTTACTAAGCAGGTATCATCCCATACCCTGTCACTAAAAAAACACTATGTAATTTATAGTCTGTGCAGTGCAAGATTTGCCTTATTATAAAATGATGTACTATTGGAAATATGGCATTTCATTGTTTAATAGACATGATCAAAAGGTGTTTGTAAAATGTTGACCAATTTATTCTTGCAAAATTGAATAATTTTGTAATTGATTTGTTATTTGAACAGGTATAGAGAAGGAAAAGAATCAACATATGTCAGCAGTTAACATCTCCCACCTACTCAACTCCAGATAGCTGTTCCTGTGGATCCACATACATGTATATGAAAAGATCGCCGTGTGTTGCAAACACTAGAATGGGTAGGAGTGAATGAAAAAATTGATTTTCAAGATTAAAAAATGAGGGAGTGATCATTCATTTGATTCTGATTGTGGTGGTGTGAACTGTGAAGGGGGTGTATTTAATTTTTTGCTTTTGATATGGACAGATTATGATAATTTTTTTCCAAGATCACAAGAGACAAATTATGACAGATTATTTCGTTTCACTAAAAAAAGTATTCCTGAGGGGAAAAATCTTAATTGTATGTGTATATTTCAGTTTAAATATTCTAGGTCAGATTAATCCCAATATCTATTCTCAGAATCAAATTGTCCTCCCTTTACATGTAACTTTCTAATATGATTATAGAAAGTCCAGTTGTATAATATTTTGAAACTTCAATAGTCTAGTAGTCAATCCTTATAAATTTATGTATCGGAAACTGCAAAGGTGTCAAATTCATAAAATGATTGACAATAAAGTATCAATCCAAGTTTTGAATAGAGATTACTTATTTACATGTTTACTATATATATCCATGTACACACCATTTAGACATGAAGTTTAAAATTAAAATTAAATATATTTTCCAGGCTAAGAATCATATTCATGTGTCAAAGCCTGAAATCTGCATGGCGCAGTTGTTAAAGCAGCTCTCAATTGTCTCAAAGTAAGGAGCACTGTGGAACATGGAGGCCAGTCCTTTGGATGAGACTGTATAAACTGTGTTCCCCTGCTGCAGTAGACGTTGGCATGAAAAAGAACCCTCTGAGCTCAATGGCCAAAAGTACTGAGTATAGGTTTAAAGCTGCAGCCCTCCACCAGCAAGTGGTAGCGTCTTCATATGAGTGAAAAAAAATTCTTGAGAGGGACATTACACAACATACAAACAAAGCAAATGCTGAACTATTTGCTTCAGAAAAGACCTACACCTACAGTGATCATCATTTGAATAAAGTATGTGACCAAAAAAAGCTTGCAGTTGAAAGGCAAAGAAAAGAATTCATTATGACAGGAAAGCTAGCTTTTATAGACAGACTGTACATACATGTAGAAATTATTGTCAAGGTTAAAGAAATAATTCTGTTTGACTAGGACAAAAGTTCTCTTTTTTGATGTGTTTAATTTTTAAGTGGTGTCCAATATCTCCATATGTTGTACATTTTAATATTAATTACTTTGGCAATTAGATGTGTGCTAAAATATGTCATTGTAATGTCAGTTTTATTGTCTGGCTTTTTTCTGTTTACATAAACCTTAGTGCATGAAATAGACTATGAAATATAGGAAATCGGGATGTGAATAATTATATAATTATTTAAGGACTTAATAATGATTATTTTATTTATTTATTTATAATATTTATTTAAACATGTTACAGCAAAATTTGTTTAATGCGAACACGGATATAGCAAATCCATGGATATAGCGAACGTTTTTAGATCCTCAGCTATATAAATTTAATGAATTCGTTACATATATATATAATGAATTGTGGATATAGCGAAGTAATTTTATGGGTCTTAGTGACTTAATTAAAACCGAGTTTCACTGTATATATTTAAAATTAAACTGAATAATTTCTTTATTGACTTCTTAGCCATCATCACATACGAATGTGCTTTAAGTCAGATTTTGGAAAAAAGTCGGAGGAAATTCAGATTATCATATATTTTTATTTATATATTCATGTACAAACCAATTTTATACCTCATTCACAAAACTAAACATCACTTCTTTAAAATGGAATTGAAAAACTAAATTTCCAATTATATCAAGTGGGATTTTATAACATTTTTTATAGTCAAGGTTGAGAAAAAATAGGCAATTTTTAAGAGGCCAGAGGAAATTCAGACTAATTATGTGTTTATTAGATACTTGATTTACGAAAAAGAATAAGCATGTATGAATTTGAATTTTGATTTTAACACGTTTTATATTTAAAATTAAACTAAATAATATTTTGATTGATTTTTCAGCAATTATTATAGTTAAATGTGTTTTATGGGTTAATTTTTGAAAAAGTCCAGAGGAAATTCAGATTATTATATCTATTTTTCCAATTCATGTACATACCAATTTTTTCCCGCTTTCACAAAGCTAAACATCACTTCTTTAAAATGGAATTGAAAAACTAAATTTCCATTTATATCAAGTGGGATTTTATAAGATTTTTTACAGTGAAGATTGAGAAAAAATAGGCAATTTCTAAGAGGCCAGAGGAAATTCAGACTGTAATTATGTGCATACTAGATATGTTATCTATTAAAAAGAATAAGCATGTATGACTTTTAATTTTATTTTAACACATTGTTTATTTAAAATTAAACTAAATAATTTTTTGATTGATATTTTAGCAATTATTACAGATAAATGTGCTTTACGGTCAGTTTTTGAAAGAAGGCCAGAGGAAATTCAGATTATCATATGTTTTTATCCAATTCATGTACATACCAATTTTTTCCCTGTTTCACAAAGCTAAACATCTCTTCTTTAAAATGAAATAAAAAAAATAAAATTTCCAATTATATTAAGTGTGATTTTATAACATTTTTAATAGTCAAGGTTAAGAAAAAATAGGCAATTTTTTAGAGAGCAGAGGAAATTCGGACTGTAATTATATGCTTATTAGATATTCTTTTTATTGGAAAAAATAAGAATAGTATGTTTATACACCAATCTTTTACATTATGGCAAATAAATTAATTTGAACAGCAATTAATAAGCTTTTTTATGACTTTCTTTAATTATTGTGTAATTTTCTAAATGGCTTTAAACTTTGAAAACATGGTCATCTTCAGGGACTGTTGCCATGGAAACGAACTCATGTACATATATTGTTCTTTGATCAAGGAACTTGTCCTCTATCTGTTGATACCCATTTTATAATTTTCCAATTACTTTTTTGTCAGGTTCACATATCCTTAACAAAAAAGGAAGGAGAAAATGAATTTTAAAATAAAACAAATGAACTATTTTATGGTAGTAATAAATTGATAAAATATCTGTGGTATCATTGAAATGACAGTTGCTTACAAAAATATCAATAAGAATTTTAAAATAATTTTATAAAAAAAATTATGTATGCTTTTAATAATAAAATAACCACCAACAGAACAAAAGGAAGAGAAATACTAGAAAGGAATAACAAAAAATAATAATAAATATATATATATATATAATTCTGAATCAGTAGATTTTTTCTGAAACATGTAACAATGAATTAATTTGATAAGTAACTTGAATTTTTTAAGTGACTGTATTAATTTACACAATAAGTCAATTTCTTTAGAAATAATTTTTTTTCTCTCTTTTCATTTTTCTTTTATGAAATTAAAATTTTAAGTAAAACAAGCAAATTCAAAGAATTGTGGTCCCCAGCTTTAGGTGTCTTTGTGGGTGAGATGTTATTTTTATGACATATTGTGTATAATACGAACATCCTATCATATGTCATTTATTTAGAAAGTAACACTGAAGTTCATTTTTTTGAAGGATGAAAACCCTAATCCTGACCGTTAAAAAATTATGGCCAAATTAAAAAGTTTTTTAAAAATAGGTCAACTCCAAGGTCAAGATCAAAGTTGTTGATATCGAATGAAAAGTTTTCTCACAAGGATTACATATGTGAAGAATGAAAGCCCTAGCCCTTACTGTTCAAATTTAATGGTCAAGGTTAAAGTTTTTTCATAGGTACATAAATCTTTAAGGTCAAGGTCAAAAGGTCAAAGTTGTTGATATCCAAT